TTAATAATATTACTGTTATGCAAAATAAATCAGTTATAGGAGCTCTCCTCCATAAAATTACCACATGGTATTAAATGAGATAATATGCCATGTACTTGGAATAGTGCCTGGCACATAAAAAATATTTATAGTTATTAGATATTATTATATCTATAATTACTACAGTGGTGCCTCGCATAAAGAACGCCTCGCACAGTGAACGCTGCACACAACGAACTTCATTTCATGATTCATACAACGAACTTCGTTTCACACAACGAAGTCGCCCGAGCTTCCACGACCGCTTTGCCCGAGCTTCCACGACTGCTTTGCCCGAGCTTCCACGATCGCTGCCGATGTATTGCATCCTTCCGCGCAGGCACTGCAGGCAGTCGTTAGTCACTGCACTTAACTTAAGCACGTATCGAGGCAATCGTTCTTCATTACGAATTAAATCACGCACGTATCACGGCAGTCGTCCTTTTAAGTTAAACTCAATATTTTTTTATATCATGGCTTCTAAAAAAAAGCAGGAAGGTGATTTCTGTTGAAATGAAACAGGAAATAATTAGAAGGAGTGAATGTGGGGTAAAACAGTGTGACCTCGTCAAAGAGTTTGGCCTCAGCAAGACCACCATTTTCACCATTTTGACAAATAAGGATGCAATCAAATCAGCCAAAGTAGCCAAAGGAGTATCAAAACTATTTCATGAAAAACATAGGTCTTCAATCCACGAGGAAATGGAGAGGCTATTAGCGATTTGGATTAAGGACAGGCAGGTGAAAGGTGACGTAACAACCCAAGATATTATCTGTCACAAAGCCAAGAGAATTTATGACGATCTAAAGAAAAACGTCCCTGGAAGTAGCAGCAATCAAGATAATGAAGAAGAATTCAAAGCCAGCAGGGGGTGGTTTTTTAGATTTAAGAAAAGGTGTGGAATCCACAGCGTTACTATGCATGGTGAGGCTGGCAGTGCTGACAAGAAAGAAGCAGAAAAGTTCTCTATTAACTTTCAAAAATGTATTAAGGATGAAGGATACTGCCCACAACAAGTGTTCAATGCCGATGAAACGGGTCTTTTCTGGAAAAGAATGCCGAGCAGAACCTTCATTACAAAAGAGGAGAAGAAATTGCCAGGACACAAAGCCATGAAGGACAGACTTACCCTTATGTTTTCGTCTAATGCCAGCGGAGACCTCAAGATCAAACCTCTATTGGTTTATCACTCTGAAAATCCAAGAATTTTCAAGAAAAATAACGTTATTAAGTCCAAACTGCCTGTCCATTGGAAGTCCAATCAAAAAGCCTGGGTGACCCAAGTTATCTTCAATGAATGGATTCTGGAAACCTTTGCTCCTGCCGTGAAGAAATTCTTGCTGGAAAAAGAACTGCCGCTCAAAGCCCTTCTGATACTTGACAATGCCCCTTCTCACCCAAAAGACCTAGAGGAAATATTGCAGGAAAATTATCCTTTTATCAAGGTGCAGTATTTGCCACCAAACACCACATCCATTCTTCAGCCAATGGATCAGCAAGTTATTGCGAACTTTAAAAAACTCTACACTAGAGCCCTCTTTAATAAGGTGTTTGAAGAATGCGAGTTTGGTGGAGACAATATGACTGTCCGAAAGTTTTGGAAGGAGAAATTTGATGTCCTTATGGCAATACGACTTATACAGAAGGCCTGGGAAGAAGTGTCACAAAGGACCCTCATTTTTGCTTGGAAGATGCTTGTGCCTTCGTGGACCCAGGAAGAAGCAGTAGTTGATGAGACAGAAGTGGTGAAGGACATCATCACAGTGGCCCAAAGGTTGGAATTAGAGGTAGAGGAAGAGGATGTAGAGGAGCTTATTGAGGAACACGAAGAAGAGCTGACAACTGAAGAGCTCCAAGCACTTCTGGTCCAGCAACAGGACAATGCTCAAAGGGAAGCGTCATCTGATAACGAGGAGCAACAATCAAACAATCAACCAATCCCAACTGCTGACATCAAGAACATCCTGGTCAAATGGAAAGCAGTTCAGGAGTTTACCAATGCCCACTATCCGGATTCAGCTGAAGCAAACAGGATCAACGATCTTTACTCCGATACTCTTGTCCGTTATTTCCGGCAGATGTTGGAGAAAAGAGAAAAACAAACGACTTTGGACAGGTTTTTCATGAAACCATCGGCCAAAAAGCAGAAAATGGATGAAGATGTGCAAGATTCGGTAGACTCTACTTAGTCTGTCTTAAAATTAAAAAAATGTGTGTTTTTTTTAAAAAAAAATTATGTTTTTAGATGTATCTAAATAAAAATAATAACAAAAAAATTATCTTTTTTATGTCATCTTAGCATATTTTATGCTACAGAACAAATTATTTTTTTAACATGTATTGTTATGGGAAAACGCGTTTCACATAACGAACTTTTCGCATAACAAACTTGCTCCTGGAACGAATTAAGTTCGTTGTGTGAGGCACCACTGTACCTGTCTTCATTGTAATAATAGTAGCAGCATTCATTCTTGGTTATTCTTCTCCTCCTCCTTCTACCTTCTAAAAACAGTAAAATATAAAATATTATATATGGAATTAATGTTTTCCTTTGCATTTTGTTTTGGAAATAGTGAGTTAGTGTAGCATTTCCTGATTTATGTGCAATATAAAAAATAAATAAAATAAACAGAAGACTGTATTCTTAATATAATGACCATACTTTGTCTGTGTTTGTTTGTTTTCCAAACATGCGAAATGAGAAGACAGAATGAGAAATATTACATTATAAAATATGTAATTGAATATGTCTCTTTATTTAACTAAAACCATATTTTCCACTGGCCTAATCTCTTGAATTTATATAGTAATAACCTGAAGCTTTGAAAATATTAATAAAAATGATATTTTTGTTTATTTTTGTAAGATGAACTCTTTTGTTCTACTAGAAGAGAGACTGGAAAACACAGTGGCTTAAGTAAGATAGAAGTTTACTTTTTCACTAAGTTAAAGTTATTGAAATGAGGTAGTTCCATTATTCAATGGTTAAGGTACTTCCATCCCTAGTGAGTTACCTTCCTTTTAAAAAAAAAAAATCCTCATCCAAGGATACCTTTTTTATTGATTTTAGAGAGGAAGAGAAAGAGAGAGAAAAAACACCGATGTGAAAAACACCAATCAGTTGCCTCCCGTATGTGCCCCAATCAGAGACCGAACCCACAATCTAGCTATATGCCATGATTGGGAATTGAACCTTCAACCTCTTGGTGTACTGGATGATGCTCCAACCAACTGAGCCACTTGGCAAGGGTGTGAGTTACATTCCTTATCTAAGTCTCTTGGTCCATAATGTCTCTCTGAATTATATCATGGACAAGTTCTAGGGGGAAAGCAAAAGAAAGAGGGAAAGTGGAAAAAGGCACAAAGTGGCTGTCCAACCTCTTCTGAAGCACCTTCTCTAAATCTTTACACTTATTTTTGAAATTCCATTACATGGTCATAGCTTACAGTAGGAAAGTCTTGGAAAAATACTATTTTAAGAGTTTACATAGTCAACCTGAGTGCAGCTGTGGTTCTTGTAATGAAGAAGAATGCAAAGAATAGATTTAGGGTCAGCAACTAAAAGTTTCTACTGTCCTAGTCTTTATAACTGATACGTGGTGTTGAAAAAGTATTAATCATGTAACAGAAGTCTGTAAAAGATGGAAAGGGGAAAGTTCCTGTAGAGAGAATTCTATGTGTTCAAAAACCCCGTTTCATTCTCCTCCTGAGTCACAGGAAAACTACCTTCTCCAGCCTCTATGGCAGTTTTATCTAGTTGGCTGTGACCAGCAGTAAAATTTGCCAGCTCTGGCCCCCAAAAGGTTCCACAAGTTTCTCCAACACCCTTCTTTATAAAATTTCTAAGTACAAAGAATGCAATGGAGGACTTCCAGGCCAAAGAAGATGGTAGAGCTGTAGAATAGAAGAAGTTTGAATCTCTTAATGACTGCTTGGAACAGAGAACCTTTCCCCTTTCTGACCACTTGATGAAGTGATGAAGTACATTGAACTTTGACATCAGCAAAACAAAATGTTATGGTTGAACCTCTGAGATTTAGGGGTTGTTTATAGCACTAAACATCCCATATAATTATTAGAGCCCTTACTAACACACTAGCCTAGAGATCTTCATTATTTATTGGTGTTTATTATTCCAATATTAATGCATATATAAAGATAGATTTTTACTATATATATATATATATGGGGGGGGGGTAATATTATATACTACACAGGTATTTCATCCCCAAATATTTTCATTCACAAAATTAGCACTAATGGTATTTAAAATTGTCTTTCTAAGTTAAAAATCTAAGTTTAAATTTAACATGGTAGAATTTTAATGAACAAAATTTGCAAATTTTATTTTAGACATATCAATACATATAAACAAAGGCAAGTACATTTTTAAAAATTAATTTCTCACATTGAATTGCCTGTGTGGAAAATGCCAACAAAACATAAGAAGGAATTTATAATTATTGATGAGGGTATGTGAAATGTATACTTTACTGTCAAACCAGAAATTTTCAGCCTTTAGCTGGAAACATCCAAGTTTGTAAAGAAATATCTGAAACTTTTCTGAAGCATTTAAGAGAAGAAATGAAAGGAGTGACTACCAAGTACTGGGAACAAAAAAAAAAATTATTACAAAGAAGTAGTTTTTCATAAAATATGTACAGTTTTAGTGCAATCCCAATCTAGAGTCTTAGTGAGCTATTTTAATGAAGCATTAGCAACTGGGTTTTAAATTTACCTGCAGAGGCAAAATGCCAGATAAGGCAAGGAAAAATATGGAAGGAATATTTTAAACTAGATTGTTATTTTTTAATAAAGGAATTTGCTACTACTTTTAACCAAGAAGTTACACATTCTAAGGGTCTGGATGGAAATTAAACAGACATTTGTTGCCATTTCTCTTTTAAGTTCCTTAAGGAACATTTTCTACCCTTTAACACTTCAGTAGTTTAACTTGACTGTTGTCCCTCCTCCAATTCAGGAAGGGGCCTTCTCTCTTCCCCATCACCGGGAAGAGGCGGAGCATTCTCTCAGAAGCCTGGAAGCAATCAGTGCCTGGCCATTCTTGGTGGAGGGACTGCAGCTGACAAAAAGCTTCAAGGTAATGGCTGCCTTAAATCTAGTTATTTTTAGGGACTTCTCTGGGTCCAAGAGTAAAGATAAGAAAAATAGGAATGGTGGTCTTAAAGTGGGTGAGATGAGTGTGTGGTTTTGAAAGAATTTCTGGCATTTTAAAGGAATTAATCCTTTAGCATTTCTGTATCTCCCAATGCTTTAAAAATCTATGGTGGGAGAAGAAGTGATCAGATTACAGTCTCTATATTAAGATTTCAGTGCAGTATAGACATTCATGCTAATTTATTGACTTGGTATTCCATGTTTATGTTGCTGGAATTTTGTTACTGCTTGAATTTTTAAGCATTTTTACTTTACACAGAAAATGATGGATAAAATATGTGACAGCATGGGAGAATACTCTTATGAATTGATTGAAGGGCTATATGTCACCTGTATATGAACATGGAAAGGGGAACATATGTGTAGTTGACTGAAGACAATTGTACATACATATGCATGTATATGTGTGATTAGAAGAAAAAAAACTGGGAGAAAATAAACTCCCATGTTAGTCAGCATTTCTCAGTGGTCAGGTTAGCCCATTGCAGCATCTTTAGAGTATACTTTTCCATGATTATTTTTATAACCATGAAAGAAAAGTGAAGCTGAAACAACATATCCATTTTGTTTAAAACACATAAGCATTCATAGGTATGTGCAGATGTGCAAACATCCTCCCTTTGTTTTTTGCCAATAGTGGACGCTGTCCTGGACCTGATCAAGTGTGTAGCCTAATTGCTGTGTTGGCTACAGCCCTGCGTGTGTCCTCGCAAATCACAGGTATGGCTTTGGTCAGCAAGAACTATTTTTCTATATCTTTTAAGATTGAGATGGAGAAAGGACTTGGTTTATTTCTATAAGCAGTTTTTTTTAAAAATATTGTATGGAATGATATAACCATACAGTAGAATATTATATATGTAGAAAATAAATATGTATAGTGATTTGAAATGTCTGATAAACAGTATAAAGTGAAAAAAGGAAATTATAGAATAGCATTTATCATATGTTCTCACTTAAAAATCAATATGTATTTTAGTAAAACATAGGTATGCTAGCTACTACAGTATATGCAACCAAGTCTGAGAAAACATATCTGCCACACTATTAATAAGATCATTTGTGTAGCTGGAGAAACAGAGCTACCTTTACTACTATTTAAAATAGTACCAATACATACTTATTTATTTACTTGGTTTACATCATTAGGTAAAATACTGAGATAAGCTGGGACTGGTTTAGCTCAATGGATAGAGCATCGGCTTGGGGACTGAAGGGCCCCAGGTTCGATTCCGGTCAAGGGTATGTACCTTGGTTGCGGGCATATCCCCAGTGGGGGGTGTGCAAGAGGCAGCTGATCAATGACTCTCTCTCATTGATGTTTCTAACTCTTTATCTCTCTCCCTTCTTCTCTGTACAAAAATCAATAAAATATATATTTTTTTTAAAATTAAAAATTAAAAAAATTAAAAAATACTGAGATAAAATGTTGTAAATGTGGGGAAAATATAAAGTAATTCATAAAAATCATGTGGGAAATATTTACATAGGAATATGTTCAAAATATGTTCTTAATTGAGATCTGATGTTGGTTTGAAAATATTTATTCCTATATGCAAACAATTCTGATATTATAGAAAATATTCATAGTGACTATTTGTAGAGTTGTACTTTATTTTGTATATATCTCTCTGCACCCTTTCAATTTTTAATAAGCTTCTGTATATTTTTTATAATTACAAACATTGTAATTGAAAACTTTATGACCCTGTTATAATTTGACAAACAAAAGCCTTGAACTTAGAACAGAAAATTCTAGAAGCCTGAGAAGGCTTCTGGCTGGCTAAATGTACTTCATTCGATTATCTGATTATAATTGAAGCCCTGATTATGCCTGCAGTGGAGGTTGCAGTTCTGATTCTGGTCACAAGATGGGGCTTCCCAGGTTTACTACATTTTCTTCAGGCAACCATTTTTATGACAATGGGAAATAAAGCAATGAAACATAATTTTGTTTTACTAGACTGTGAGACAATATGTAGAGTATTATTAAAATTCCAATGGAAAAAAATATTTTGCAAAGAAAAAAAAATCAACATAATGATTGCTGTGCAGATTTAAAAAAAAATCTATAGTCTTGCTCATAATAGACACAGGACAATTTGTTACCTTCTCTCTTATCCCCAGCTCACACTTTTCTAATCAGAGAGATTACTTCCACATTAACCAAATAACTGTGTCACAAAGAGAATTTAAAAAGAAAAAGAAGAAAAATAAATATGGTCTATATCATAGATGAGATTTCATCTTATCCCTGTGTTTCAGAATGACATGCCTTCTAATGTTTGGGTAGGAAAGTTTCTAAATGCTTTTTCCATTTGTTTGGTTTGAATTTCTATCTCCTTTTATACAGCCTTTCTTCTTTTCAAATGAGAATCGGTACAACTGGGTCATAAGACCAGATCCTCTATGACACATGTGAGACTCTTCTCATTTCACAAAACATTTCACATTAAAAACTTGTTGAGAACTTGAGTTTGAATTTATTTTGCTTCCTTCTCTGCACAGTATTTTAACACTCACACAAAAATATGTTTTTATTGACTTTTTTTTTTTTAGAGAAGAAAGGAGAGAGAGAAACATCCATCAAACCTGCAACCTAGGTATGTACCTTGACTGGGAATCAGACCCACAATATTTTGGTATACAGTTCAATACTCCAGTCAACTGAGCCACCCAGCCAAGGATACAACCATAGCATTTTTTAATTAGAAGCTACATTTCATACTAAAACCATGTTAGATTGAAATTTTGAGGTATAATTTATTTTGCACCCTGTCCTATAGCCATAACATTGTGTAATTAAAAATCATCAGTTTTAGCCTGATCAGTGTGATTCAGTGATTGACTGTTGACCTATGAACCAGGAGGTCACAATTCAATTCCAGGGCAGGGCACATGCTTGGGTTGTGGGCTCGATCTCCAGTAGGGGGCATACAGGAGGCAGCCTATCAATGATTCTCTCATCACTGGAGTTTCTCTCTCCATACCCTTCTCTGAAATCAATAAGAAATATATTTTTAAAAATAAAAGTCATCAATTCTAGTTTGTGAGAAGAATCTCATGTTAAACCACCATGAAGAAATTGTGCAAGAGGCTATTCAAATTTCTACCTGAGTTCTAGCTGCCTTACTCTCAATAAATCTTTAATAACTATCCTACCCAATTAGTAAGCATAGCAACCATTCTGAATCTCCTCCTTCTAAACTCATGCTTTTAACAAGGTCTTGTGTTATTGTCCCAGCCCAGGAGATGCATACTTTGCCTGCTTTGGGTAAATAGGAAAATAATTATACCTTAAAAATTATAAAACCGTGTGTTCATCTAGAACAGTGTTTCCCAAACCTTTGACATGTGTGTACCCCTTCTATAATTTTTGTAACTCTGAGTACCCCTCGTACTCCATGAGAACGTAGAATTAGGCGCAGCTAAGCATGGTGCAGTGCATATCCCCACCAAACTCCGGTGCAACGCGTACCCCCACCAAACTCTTCCCATACCCCTGGGGGTACGCATACCACACTTTAATCTAGAACAGTGTTCCTCCATGTTCTTGGACAAGTTACAATAGAATCACTTGCGAACTTAGAGATACAAAATGTTGTATCCTATCTGGAATCTTCTGGATAAAACTATCAAGATGAGGCCTAGAAATATAGTTTTATGAAGACCTCTTGATGATTCTGATACATGAAAACTTTGGAGTCCCACTGCCTTAGGTATAGCAGTAGAGACATAAATGTCCCAAAGGAGTTAATAACATAGAGTAGTACCTGATTTACCATTGCAACCTTTCCCACTTCTGCCAGCAAGTGCACTGATTCAGTCCTTAATAATCATTTGTAAGATTATAAGGACAAGTTCTTGAATTTGAGGTATTATAAACCACTTCTTTAATTTTTTAAATATATTTTATTGATTTTTTACAGAGAGGAAAGGAGAGAGATGAGAGCTAGAAACGTCGATGAGAGAGAAACATCGACCAGCTGCCTCTTGCACACCTCCTACTGGGGATGTGCCCGCAACCAATGTACATGCCCTTGACCGGAATCGAACCTGAAACCTTTCAGTCCGCAGACCAACGCTCTATCCACTGAGCCAAACCAGTTTCGGCACACTTCTTTAATTTTTACAATAACTTTATATTATGCTGCATTTTCCCTATCCATATCATGTCCCACTGAGCATTATTCTTTCTTTTATCTCTATTTGTAACTGTTCACCTTCCACTTTGGCAAAATAATCTTGTTTTCTGATAATTTTCTTCTTTTCCTTTTCCCTATTGCAGTATCTCTCATATTGTCCCATTTAAGCAACGGGCTCAAGCATCCTTGGGAAATTCTGCTGGAGGAGAGCAGACCAAACAAGCTGTAAATACTTGGTAATTCTAAGACAAAGGAGATTTTGGTGAGAGTGTTGTTTTGGGTAGGAACTGCCTTAATAGTGACAAGAATAGCCATTCACCTCAATCTCTGATAGTACACAAATCTAAGTCATAATGGATGCTGAATATGTCTTATGCAATTGGAAAGACCAGTTATGGCCAGCAAAAGTTTTGTCCAGATGTGAGACTTCATCAAACAGTAAGAGAAAGAAGACATTTTCCCTAGAAGTTCAAATACTCTCACTAGATGAAAAAATTAAAGTGGAAAGCAAGGAAACCAAAACCCTAAATAAATCTCAAATTGAAGCCATTGCCTCCTCAATAGCAGCACAGTCAGAGGGCAGTTCTTCACCTAGAGAGGAAACAGCTTATGCAAGATCACTAAAAATGGCACTGGGTATTCTGAATAAGAGAACAAATTTGAATCAAACAAGCAGTTCAGATGAAGAAGAGACCACTACACTATCTCAAAATGTACCACAAAAGCTTTCTAATTCACCCCCTCGCAAAAAGTATCGGAAGCCTAAAGGAAACTTGTCAAAGTGTCTTGAAGAAAGTGAAGTTCCAACATTTCTGTTAGTATCTTCAGAGAGTGATGATTCCCTGTATGATGATAAATCACAAGTGCATGCAACCATTGATACTATTCCAAGTGAGATGGAAACAAAATCATCACAAAACTCCAGCTGGTGCCAAATTTTCTCTTCACTTTCAGAAGATGATGAAAAGGAGAGCAAGAAAAAGATTGACATCCCAACAATTATGCCTTTGGATTCTACAATCAAAGAGGAAGATGCTTATGTTAAAGAAGAGAAGTTCAATCCAACTTCATCACCAAATATCTTCACTGTGCCAAAAAATTTGAAAGAGGAGCCAGAGGATATCTACCCAAAGACCCTGGCCATTTCCTCTGAATGCTCTACCTTATTAGAGAATATTGAGGATCCTGGAGAGGGTCCCTCAAATTCATGCTTAGATACCAGCCAGAATCAACCTGTGGAATCAGAGTCAGGTGCTCTGGCATCCCCCAGTCATTGTTCATGGGAATATCAGGTTTCATTTAGTGCCTCTAACCGTGTCATGGATTGTTCACTCCATAATGAAAGAAGTGACCAGAATCCAGATTTTGAGGAATATGGAGAAGAACTCCAAGCTTCTGATAAATCAGTGCCTCTAAATCCTATTGATCCTTCTGTACTAGATGATGATGAGGAAGACGAAGTACTTCCACCCGTTGTTTTTCATTATGAGCCACGTTCATTTGAAGCAGGAATGATAGTCTGGTTTAAATATAAAAAATATCCATTTTGGCCAGCCATAGTGAAAAGCATCA